CCCATAGCTATTCCAACATAACAATAATAATGACCTACCGTCCTCGGTACATTTTGCAACAAAGTATGTTAGCACAGACATTATCTTACTGTCTATAACGATAACCGAGGTAAGTGTGTAGTGAATAGGAGCACTAGTGGGGGACAATCGAATGTATTTAAGAACCAATTACAGACCATCTCACTAAATTCTGATAACCATACAATAAAAGTTAATTTGCAAAATAACAATCAATTGTCTCAATCTTAACTGTTCCTTCTGCAAATATCAGTCTGTCCTTTCTAATTTCATTGTTCATGCATTTTCGTACCGATTGCGCCTCATTCCCGTTCGTTCCTTATCGATCTTCTGCCGAAATACAATCTATGTCTGACCACCACCATATACTACTTGTGTGGATATAAGTAGATCACACCACAATGGCATGTGGCGCTTTGATGAATTTCATTAGCAATGTCATTACCATGTATTGACAAACAGAAATTTCGTGCATATTGTCTCACCATGCTTCGTAATAAGATCAGACGACTCCAATTCGTTTGTGTTACACAAACCATTTTAAATTTTTGACATTTCCAAATCTGTGGACGTAGGCGTATTCTGAACAATCAAGAGTGTCCTCTAGCTAGTGTTTAGTAATCACATTGACCAGTTATTCGTAATGGTTTCTGGATATCATCCTGAAGCATTGTCACGATTTGACAATCAAGTAATACGATTGATGAAATTGATGAAACTATTGACAAATAGGGTTGATAAGTCGACTGACAGTTGCCGTCAAACAGAGTTGTTTCCTTGAGTTTATCTTTATTTAGCATAAATGATTTCCGTATATTTTTCTATCAGTTGTTCATTCACTTAACAGCTTAGAACCTTATTAGTTCAGTTTACCGTCTAGGAACCCAATCATTGGTGTCAATCAATAGTGTAAGGTGTTGCACAAATCTGTAGGCTGAAACCATCATTGTGTAATTTACTTCAACGCTGACAAAGACACAAACCATTATTATAAACATTTGATGGAAGTTGTACTCCCCTTGGTTACAAGTTATTCACTTCCTGACAACCAAATAGACAATATACACTGCTTATCATCTCGTGGAGAGTTATTTGACTGAGAACTTAAGACATCGTATCACCTATATTTATGGAATAGGTTTCACCGAATTCAACAACTTATGATCACTCCACTTCAAACAAGTCAATTTCTACCTTGTGAAAGACCTGAGACTTGCAACTAACTTGCATTCACCAGCAAGTGGTGAGCATGAATATTAGTAATTGGTTAATTACATATAAGAACATTGAGTCCAGAGCAAGCCTTTCATGGATGAAGTCATGTTGAACAAATTCCGCCATCGGACTGTTCGAAATTCCCGTTGACCCACTACTGTGGATGAAATTGGAAATTACCAAATACGAGCGGCCTGGCGACATAAACAATAACTTTCTAATTCAAACCAAAAGTGGTACTCATATCAACAATGATAAGACTGATTGTTTTTCTTTTGTAATACTATCATTCAAAGCGCAAATATTTTGAATGTTCATATGCTAAGCTGTAAACCATAGGAAATCGTTTTACATTTTGAAGTGATATCTTGATACTTAACTGTTCTGTATTATATATCTATCTCTCAAATAATGTGTACATAAATTTCCATTTTATGAGTGTTCAGAAGGAAATCAAATATTTTGAGATTATGAAGTGTATATTCTGATTATTTGCTGCAGCTTACTTTTTTTATACATCTTTCGATTTATCACTGTTCTTATTATTTTATTGGTAACCTCTGGCGGGCGACATTTTCGCTTAATTTGATGTTGGATAGACATCAATTCGATTCTGGTGGTAAAGTAGCGCAGTTGTGTTTGTCCTCAACCACATAATCTTTGAAACCGGACATACGATTGCTGTGAAGATTTACACTCAACGTCTAACACATTTAGAAGATTATAAATAGTGAATTCGAGGAAAAATGGTTGAGACGACATGTCTTAGCCTTGCAGGTGTGCTCACTCTATGCAATTTCTCGGTTCCCAGTTTCAGTTTCCGCTTCACTTTGGAAAGGAAAGAAGGCTAGGTGGTCTGTGTTAGTTCTGGAAATCGTGGTTGCCCGGTTGATCCAATGTTCCTTTGAAAGAGTTGACAGATGGAGCTTGAATCACTAGTTGAGCTAGCGAACTCCACTTCTTTGTGATTCTTTAGGAAAGTTGATAATCAGCTGACAAGTAATTTGTCCTGGGCTTGTGAACGTTTTCGAATGTTCTCGTAAATAATCTGTTTTGGAAAACAAGAACAATGAGGACATAGGAGATGCGATGGAAATACTTTTAGTTTAGTCAGTCAAGCATCATACAGAATCTTCGCTATTCTGAGAATCAGCTGGGTTGCTGTTCTCTGAATCTTTCCCAAACGCTCACTTTCTTAAGCAGCGGCTAGCCTCTTGTACTCAGCACTGAAGTTTAGGACGTACGAATACTGCATGCAAAGTCAAAAACGTTTTAGCATTGACGTGGCTAAAGGCCCTAAGTGTTGACCATAAGGTTCTAAAACTTTTGAAAGCCATAGCACCGCAGTGTGTAGTAGTCTTAAAGTCTTGGCTAACGATTACTCCTAAGTTATTGTGTGTATGGACAACAGGTAGCTCAGTGTTATTCATCATGAATGTATCCATACCTTGATGACCAATACGAATCACAATACACTAGTAAGTATATATCGGCAACTGTCAGGGTTGAGACCATTCAGATGACTTTACCAGACAATTTTGAAGTCCTGAGCTATTACCCTTACTTCTTAGCACTCTCCATATCTTGACATCGTCAGCATATAGTAAGACCTGTGATGACAGAAGACGAGGAAGGTCATTTGCATGTAAGAGGAATAACACTAGTCCTAAAACTGTACCCTGAGGTACTCCACTATCAAATGTTTCCAGCTAGACAACTTGGGGTTCACCCGTACTCTTTGTTGACGTCCAATTAAGAAGTGTTTTATCTACATCATTAGATTGCCTTCAACTCCAACATAACTTATATAACAGCCGGTTGCAAGGAACTTTGTCGAAAGCTTTGCTGAAGTCGATGTAGGATACATCAATGGTAACTTTTGGTCTTCAAGAATGTACCGACTTTCACGAGCTACCGACAGGTTAGTGAGACAGGAAAAACCCGTTCTCAAGCCGTACTGTTTTTGGGAAAGAATTCAGTTTTCATCGAAATATTCGAACAGCTCCTTTCGAATAATCTTTCCTATAATTTTAACAACCACACTGGTTAAGATAACGGATCGGTAGTTCTCCGGTTCATGTTTCGTACCTCTTTTGAAGACGGGACTTTCTATGGCGTTTTTTCAGTCGTTTGGTAATCGACCCTGGGTCACGGATAAATTAAAACATATGCTTAGGGGGTTCACAACGAAATTTACTAATTCATTTAGTAACCTAGGATGCGTTTAATCGGGTGCGGTGGATTTCCCTAAATCATACTTATTTAGCAAACCAAAGATATTGAGTTCTTTAGTGGTTACAGTGTCCATTGTGTTTGGTGAGCCTTGTATGAATTGACGGGAAGAGTGGTTTGAGAATGCCTGAGTTTCACCATAGTCGTCCTCCACTAATGATGAAGTATTGCTGTCTCCCCGTAGTGCTGGAATATTTCCTCTTCTCCTAGTCCTTTAGTTTATGTACGAACACAAGCGTTTATGGTAGTCTATAGGTTCCTTAATTTTTCCTTCGTACAACCTTTTAGACTTGTGGAGGGTTGAGGCACAATTATTCGGACCTTCTCGATTTCGATATGTTGTCTTACCAGTACTGAGTGACTTAAATCTCCCCTACGTTCTTCTCCTCTTACGGAGAAGGGTGAGGACCTCGTCGCTGAGTCATGGTAGAGAGTTTCTCGGAACCCTTAGTGTAGTCCAAGGGATGTGAGGTACAGTGACTTTTAAGTACATATTTCGAGATACAGCTTAAGCTGTTTCAGTTGAGGGCTTTGGCTCTATTTTCCAAACTGTTGATGATGCTGAGTGTATAATATCTTGTGTATAATATCTTGTTATCCAGACGATTAATCTGGTCAGTGTTAACACACCCTCGTTACTGACAACTATATGGAAGTCAAAGCTTAGAACTGCATGAACAATTTCACCTAAGGGTGGCATGTGATCAAGGTTTGTGACGTCATCTTTATAATGGGAGTACTCATTGTGTTGTACGACGCTATCGGGCCATCTTTTATTCTTCTACAACTTAAAAAGGGCACCTTGTTATAGAAAAGTTAGCTTTTAAAAATTCGACTTCTCAGTCCTATGATCCACTTTGTTGACTACATTCACACGCCTAAAATGCTTAATATTCTCTTTTCGGATAGGGGATGCAGCGGTTTTATGGACTACGAGTTATGGATGGTGTAAGTTTCAACCAGTGTTGAGAAAAACCCAGGAGCTAGCACGTCTAGCTGTCTGCGAACGAGGTAAGGAATAGCTGTGGCCTGAGTTACATCTCACAAATTATTGTTGGTCATTGAATTTTATTAGTATGACACATAGGAGGCACTCCGAATCGGTTCTAGTGGGGTTAGAGCAATAGAAGAAGCAGTTATCCTGATTTTCTTCTGCAGCTCAAAATAACATCGTTTGGAACTTTTTGAAGTTAAATCTCGAAAAGTTTATTCGCGTTCACTCAAACGACACAAAATCTCTTCGAAACTCTCATTAATCATCATCATTTTTGATAATAAACCACAACTTAATTTCATCCACATGCATGGCGACTAAAATGATGAGGCTTTCTGACAAGACATGATAAATATGAGGGATAACACAGGGTCCAATATGGCCTCTTCTGATACTCCAGTTATAGACGATTAGTTTGAATATTCTTTGTTAAGTTTGGTTTAAGGTGAGCCAAAGTAATCTAAAGCAAACCAGGACAGCTTCAGAGACGTTGGCTAGAATCCCAAAATTTTGACTCGTATTTAATCAATTAAAAAATTGCCAAGACTCATTTGAAAACCGCGCTTTATCCAGTGTACTACGTGGAGTGGTTCATTTTAAAGTAGATAACTAATTCATTTAAGTCAAAGGAATTAATCAGTCAATTTTTTAATAAGTTAGTATTTAATATTGCCTGTCTGAATTTTTCTTTCACTGTGTTGAATTTTATAGTTTTGAGTCGGTGTGCCGTGGCCATCTCTTTGATTTCCACTTTCGGGTCGTTATTTTGCAACACAATGAAAGTTACCTTCAAAACACTGATGCAACAGACGTTTGTTCTTGACTTTCAAGAAGATGATCTGGTAAATCGCAGGTTGATGTGATATTGTACGTAGATTGGCGACGTTAAGAAGAAAATCGAAGCGAAATGGGGCAGCGAATTCGATGCAAGGACTCAGAAACTAATACACTCAGGTAAATTATCGTTCATAGCTTGTTACATTACTTAGGCAAGGTGATGGAAGATAGTAAATCGCTAAAAGATTACAAAGTGACAGAATCTGGTTTCGTTGTAGTAATGTCTGTTTCAAAGCCAACCAAAGATACAACGAAAGAAGCTAGTGCTTCAGTACAAAGTAATCCTACTGGTGAAACAAAGCCAACAACAGACAAAAAAAGCCCAGTGACAGAAGCGAATGAAGCTCCGAGCAGTAAACCAGACGCCAATTCTCAACCTAACTTACCTACAGTTACAACAGCCCCATCTAGCGCAACCAGTACTTTGGGTTTTGGAGAGAGTTCCTTAGTTACTGGAGAGAATTTTGAGCGGGTTGTAAAAGAACTAATGTCCATGGGTTTTGAGAGATCATTGGTCAGTCTTTTGTAAAATAATAACGACAAATTTAGGTAATCCAAGCAATGCGAGCAGGCTTCAACAACCCAGATAGAGCATTTGAATACCTTTCATCAGGAAACATTCCGAATGTTGACATTGTTGACCAGTCACGGGAACGGGAAGAGAGCGAAAGTGTATCTCCAGAAGGACCTGGGGATACTGATACCCCAGGCTCTGAGTCCCTTGGCTCAGAAGATCCGATCGCTGCACTCGCAAGTTTACCCCAGTTTCAACAAATGAGAGCGCTAGTACAAGCAAATCCAGAGCTACTGCCTCAGCTCATCCAGCAAATAGGGAATGATAATGCAGATTTATTTAGGGTACGTGTTTCTTTAGCACTCACGAATTTTCATTATCTGTTTTTACAATAATTATGCAAGCATTTGGTAGTTTCGGACCAGTCTCTAAGAAGAAATGCAACTAGGGTTGCTTACAACTTTTCAGGGCTTTGCGTTGTATCTAGATCTTAAGTTCATTAATTATTTTCATTTACATAAGTATGTGCCGCAATCACCGTTGATCGGATTCGCTTTTGAGGTTACTCATAAACTATGTAGTGTTGCATATGCTTTGGACGTTTTAGTTCTTGGTAGTGTTGGCAGCTTAAACTTGCATAGCTAAATGTACTAGATCTTTATGTCAGTGTTAGTAAATTCGAGATATGAAATTCTTTGACCTGACATTCATGATTAGTAAGTCAACTGTTTACTTTGTTAGTACTACATTTTTGGCTGACCCATTAACGCGTCTGAAGTATATTTTTTTCGTCCCAGTCGTTCTTGTAGACTTCCAGCTTCTATACTATGCATGTTCCATTAAAGTGGATACTATCAATAACGTCAAATATCCACTGTTGGAAAAATAATTAACTTAACGTGTGACTATTTGAATGATTAAATATCTTTAGTTGTAATGAGTATACAGCTGATACTAATATAATTGTAATTTAAATATTATGTGACATTCAGCTCATTCAAGAAAATGAACAAGCATTTCTGGAATTTATTAATACCCCAGTCACTGGTACTACTCGACCCGGTAGTCAGCGTCAAACTGTTCTGACTATGACTGCTGAGGAACGTGCTGCTGTGGATCGTTTGAAGGCATTAGGGTTCCCGGAGGAGTTGGTTATCCAAGTAAGTTTTCAAAAGATGTGTCTACTATCAATAGTTTCCTATCGAAACTTTGATATTGTTTTTATTTCAAGTATTTGACTACATATTTCGCTCATTTTTTGTGTAAATTACAAGGTAAGAGTTTGTCCACTTGATTTCGAGTCTTTTTTTTAAGGATTGACGAATCTAATCAAGTGCTTTAACAACTAAGCCATCGTTCATGACAATGCAGAAATGGGATGAAACTTCACCGAAAGCAATGCTGTTGGTAGTACGCTTACAAATAGTTTTTAGGCTAGCTGACATTGGACTACAACTAAGTTTCCCCTATCCAAAGTATTCCTATTGTCCGAATCTATATTAATAAGGAGTAAAAGCCTGGAAATGGAATTGAATTGCACTGCGGTTAAATCAAGAAATAGCTTTGTGGACAAAAAATCATTTATTGATTTATCTAGAATTTAAAACCGTTGGTCAGGGGATCGCGATTAAAAAATTTGTTTCAGTTAAACTGTCTTTTAACTGATTGTGATTCACTTGATACTCGGTGGTTCTCAGCCAATATGTGGTAATTTTAACATCAGAAAAAGCTGAATGCCCACTTTATGATCATTGCCACTTGAAAACCGGAGACGCCAATCCATTTTTTATTTGTACTTCAGCCGACACTTCCTTATATGCTGGTGACAATCAGGAAGTAATGATCATCTGTATTTTCAATATCACTCATCTCTTATATGTTTTATTTTGGTATTTGACCACTTATCGCGTAGACACTATTTACTCTTACTGTCAATCCCATTGATCTGTAACTAAAATATTTACCTAAAAGGTCACAAACTAGTATTTAGATATCCTTCTAACTGAATATAAATGACTCACAGCTAGTTTTAATATGATACAAACTCAAGAGGAAATTTGTTAGGAACCAAACATATAAACAACGGTGAAATCAATTTCTAAAACACTTTATTTGCCCTTTGCGATACCATTAGAAGTATTGTCTTTCCGCACAAATATAGAACAAGAAATCTTGTGTTAGACGCTAGGCTGGTGGTATTGCGAAGATTTATGTTCACTTAACCAAGTATTTGTGTGAGGTTACTTTAAGTAAGTGATAGCGTACGTCATTTTCCAACATAACTCGCAATATTTTCATTAACCCCCATCTATGTCGAGTACTATTTTCGCCTTAACCGAGATATGACTTACAATGGTTAATATCTTCAAGTTTATGAGCTGTTATGTGCCTAATACGAATAAATTTACATTCCATATAGTCCAAGTTATACAAGCCTAGGCAAATTGTATTCACTTTATCTCTGTACCAATGATTCGTTTCGTGGCACTTTATTATGTGGGGTTATGCCATTTACCCTTAATCTTTTTTGATTGTAGGTTTGAAATTTTCAACGGTTATCCGCACTTGATTCCTATTATTTCCGTGATTTCTATCCCCTAGTGAAAACTATGTTAGTAGTGTTAAGACTATCTGGTGTGTGAAGAACATAATTACGGAACTAAATTCGCTTTAATGCCACGTCACATCCAGTTTCGGAAGCTGTACCTAGTACTATTTTGTTATGGGAGTAGATCAAAGAATGTCAGGTTCGACCGGAAATGAAAGACAAGAAGGTTCAAGCTAAAGCTTTTGGTTATACGCATATGCATTTTAAAATTTTCTCATCAGTCACTTTTTGTTAGCTTATTAATTGTGTATTTTGTTTGTTTAACGGATTCTATTCGCTAGATTGCGTAATTTACAAAACTCTATGCAGGGAGTTATTGAAACACACCCAATTACTATGAGACAACTATCATTCTGTCTTATCGTTCCTTAGCATCCTTCTACCAACTTTCAGCGTCAGCTTACAATGCAAGCTACAAAAGCCCTTAACACAAGTTTGGTCAATACTGATGTCCCGATAGAAAAACTTTTGTATCATGTTCACTGCTAAGCCCAAACATTTTTCACACATTGACTTCGATTTATGTGTTGGTTTAGAATAGGTGGAGTTCAGTGATAAAAATAATTTAACGTGGAATCATCGAACATCTTTAACTCGATGGGGTCAATGTTCAAAAGCTTGTAGCGAAACTTCTAACTCAGTTTTGTACATGTGACATTTAGTATTGAGACCGTAGTATATAGTTTATTGATGCTTGTATACTGAACTCTAACTGTTCTGCTTCATACTTTGCTCTACTTCCGAAAAATATAAATCACAATTTGGTGTAATCATGAACCATGGTGTTTGCTGCTGATCGTTTCAGTGTATCAGTAAATTGCTTCTCAATAGTTCACATAAATCAGTGAAATAACATTCGTAAACGTGGTTGATTACTTTGTGGTACCTGTTGTATATGTTGGCAGGTCTATGTAGACGGATTCGTACATCTTGATTGTTTTTATTTTCATATAATGAGCAACCACTTCTGTCTTGTTATTCTAGGACAACCAGCTTTCAATTGTACTGCATATTTTAAAGTTCTCAAAGCGATTCTCAGTCGCAAACAACATAAAATTTAACACAAGCATGTTCTACCGTGATTTATCACAATGTACAGCAGCACAATGACATACACGTTGGTCATTTGAGAACAGCATATTGTCCGTTATCATATGCTTAGTTTAGTGGTAAAGTCCAAAAGAGAAGCGTGATACATTTTTGCTGAAAAAAGTTTCATGTGGGTACTCTACACAGCACGTACGTAAATTCCATTATTAAGTCATATTGATGATTTTGAAATCGACTTTCATAGAAATTTGTTCCACAGAGTACGATAATGATGTTTTAACCTATTTTTTCGTAGGCATATTACGCGTGTGAGAAAAATGAGGATGCAGCTGCGAATTTCCTGCTTAGTGAAAGTTTAGACGATGAGATGGTGTGAAGTTTGGTGTAAATCATCGTTTATAATTGTTATTACCATTGTGATGTTAGTTCTGGTTGGAGTGTGACTAACACATTTTTAACAAATCCACGTCCTTTTTCTCTGTTTTACAGCCTTTATTCACTTATCCACCCATCCATTTCCCGTGTTTATTTTCACCAATCCACATTATTAAAAGAAGTGGTTGAAAAGAACATGCTTATTAAAAAATGTACCGATAATACTATGTTTAACCATATTCATCAAAGTCTGGGTTTAATGAGCGTTCCCTGTTTTGCTTTTTCTGGTGAAGATCATTATATTTGTCAACGAAGTATGTGTTTATATAATGTAAACTGTTCTTTACTTTTCTGATCCGACTGCATTCAACTGGTGATTAACTTTGATCCTTTTTTACATTAGTTATGTGGGATATAAAATTTCACATTGAATCAAATAACCTAGCGTTCTTGATGCAAGCGAAAATGTTAGTTTTTGAGTAAAAATTAGTTGGAAAAATTAAGGATATCAAGAACATTTAAAAATATATATATTATGAATAATGAATAAATATTTTCCATATACTTAGCTTACGTGTTTGCATTTTACTCCTGTATCATTTATGTCCTAAAGGAGATTTTTAATTATAATTAATTCAATTTTCCATATTGTATCGACCGAAAATTATCACGAGTCAGTTGTTATGCATCAGTCACCTGTATGCTTGCATCGTTTTCTTTGATTTGTGAAACCAAGTTAGCTGTTTCTTCACAGCCGTATATAACAGCATAGTCATTGTGGGAAAATAAACCAGAATGCTGAGATTTTCTATTTTTGTTGAAAAATTTATGGGAATCAGCGACCTAAACCAAATTCAACTAATTTCTATTAATATTCTAATCAAAGAACAATAAATCTCGCTGTTCATTTCCAGGATAGGCAAATGTGAATCTTATTTTACTTTTAGCTTCACTAATATAAGCGATCTTAGTTTTTGTAACCGAATTATGGAGACATTCATTTTGTTAGAAGCTACTAATAAGCACTTGTTTGTTATCGCTCAATATGATGGTTTACTTCGAAGATTCAGATGAATTTCGGAGCAGTCATTGAGGCCTTGATATATCGAAGACAATTGAATAACTGCCCTATTTTAGTATCCGACAGTGGTGCACATTTCCAAATAATACAAATGTTCTTTAAATGAATTAAATGTTTTACCAAGGAAATCCATCTACTCTGATAAACAGTGGCCCCCAAATGCCCTGGTACGGCTGAGAGTGGGGAGAGTCCCCTCTCCGTATCGAAATGCTCTCACATGGCCACGCGTATACAGCCAGGGAAGCCCTACTCACTGCCTTCTCGTGGCGTGGGTGTTTACGAAATTGAGAGGGCGAAAAGCAAATGTCCGGCGCTCTAACCGGGTTGGTGGACACGGTAAGTTCACCTAGGGGAGTTGGAAAACCCTGATTCCAAACCAATGGTGCACATGGACTCCAGTATCCTGGGGGAACAAATGGCGTATGAATCAATCGTTGGTCAACGGCTAACATGGAACTGCATCTCCTCACGATGCTTCACTGCCTTGTGGGTTAGACCTTTAGATCAAAGGATCGGGGTGTGGCCCCCTAAGAAAACCACCTGCTTCGGTTTGGGCACCCGGGCATTATCATAGCCCTCACACAAGTCAAGATTTCTGTTGCGCATATGTATCTGGTACTTCCTTGTACCAATATTTATGTGTTTAAATGAATAAATAATAGCACTAGTTTACCTGGTAGCGTAAATTGTTAGTAATAATAAGTAGTAATAAGTACTGTAAATTAATCCTGACAAACATTATTAATTGCTTATTTGTAAAAAGTTAATTTAATTATTATCTAAGGGATAGAATCATGAAAGTTCTTTTGCAATTAGCAACTAGAAAGTCACATGAAGGAACTGTATTCCTTCCTGATGATTTTAGTACGTCTTTTCATTTCTGATTACATATGATGGACAACAACTGTTTAAGTGTGATAAATCATATGAATTCTTAAATATGGTTTCTTATTTCAATTTTGTTATGAATTTACTGATATTAATGTAATGATGAATTAATCTGTACTAATGTAATGTTTCTTAACGGGCGCTTCACCAGCAGTATAAAACCTGTCATAGACTGGTTCCGTCAATTGATTACAGTTTGAATTTTTGACCATTTGGATTATGAAGAATACACTGTGGATGAGTCGTTTAAGGTTCTCTGACACAATTACAGAATGACTAACGTGTAAGGTAAAGAAGTTTCATTAAATAATGAAAAAATAATTGTACTATGAGTACAAGTCAATAGGGATACTGAAGTGGATTGTGATTTTGAGGCCACTTTCCATCAAATGTTCAGAAAGTCTATCGATTAAACGTATTTACTGTCAGAATTGATGAAATCTGGTAAAGTTTAGTTTTTTAGGAAGCTTAATTTTTCTAGACTTATTATCAACTTTTCGATCTTGATATTGTAATAATGTGGCCACACACCTTCAGACTGATCATTACTGATGAAGATATTTTCATTCATTGTGAAAATATATGAATTAAGAGTCTTTCTTAATCTTATTCACAGTTTTATAGAAAATTCATCATTACCAGAGAATATTTATAAACTCTGTGTAAGTTTACGGATTTGAAATTGTGTGACAACGATCCTATGAAAAACTCATAAGTAGATATCGTTTTCTATTTTATCATTCTTACTTTACGAGCTCCCCTATTGTCCAGTGAACTAGTAAGAACGTTGGTTGTTTGGTCTTATTATGAGCAGAGCCAAATAAAATCTTGATTTACATGTTATATGCAATATACATTAGAACAAATGATTATTTGACACGTTTAACACCGTTATTTTACAAAGGTATTTGTACTCCGCTTTTTATGTGACGTAATATAAAATTCACTCATTCTCGGATTTTGAGCAAATATCGTAAGTCATTTTCTTGATTCTGAATGACTCGTCCTCTTATTATAGTTACGCCATCATCGTGGTAGTTATTTTATTCATTTCATACATGTTCATATCCACCGAATTATCTAAGTTTAAAACTTAGTGATTTAAATGTGTTAGTATTCAGTCAACTAATATCGTTTGGTTTGACAAACAGTTCACCGAAATATAAATCTGAATGTCTCATGAATAGATTTTATACTGTTCGGATATTATTCCAATCACTTGGTCAGTCAGCTACAACGTAGGACTAAAAACATAGATGCATCGGTTCCAGTTGCCGTACCTCATTATCACAACAAGATGAGCACCAAACTCATAGTAACAGTTACTTCAATGGTAGTAAACAAAGATTTCATATAAGGATATGAGTATATATATAATGATGTATTATCCTAATTAGTCAGTATGAATATACTGCTTATTGATCATGATATAAAATTCATTTTTATAGCTTTATTCATACTCATTATACTACAGTTATTTTTTTATGAACTCATAATACCTGGATTATTTCTGAAATCATTTTTTAGTCTAAAAAGACGAATAATTTTGGCTGATCGATATTTCTAGTTTTTCCTTTACTTTTCACTTTTTTAATATTAGAAAATGCCGTGGAGAAGAGTAGATTGATACTAGTTTTAACATAAGATGAAAAAAGTTTTACAACAATCTTCTTACTCTTTTATAAAGAGAAACAATAAAATCATAACCTTAGTTCAGTATAACACATTTTTCTGTACCAATAAGTACATGTAAACGATTAAGAAACAAACATAGATTTCAGTTAATTTTGTATGTTTAATAGTGGATAGTAGTAAAGCCCTTTTCATTGAACATGTTGGCGTTTGTCGTGATTCACTAACTTGACGTATGATTTTCTAGCATTTAGAATTATGGGTATTGAGTTTAAATCTCTATGTGAAAATCAACAGTAAGATGCAGGTAATCTTTTTTTTCAAGAATCCTATATAAGAAAAATATAGACGTCCTGTACTCTATTACTATCTAGAACCAAAATATTACTAAGACTCGCAACTATGTTGGCATTCACACAGTGAATATATCCCGAAAAAGATTGATCGTTTGCAGTCGTAAATATCAGCAACGGGAAACTCAAGCACTTACAAACAGAGTATATCAATCAGGCTGAATATGTTAGTAACTACGTAGAATCGTTTTCTTAATGACTGTTGGATTGGTATTTGAAGTGGTAAGTAGTGTATACAAATCCTAACATGAACATCAGCAGTAAGAAGCAAGTAAATATTTAGTTCATGAGTCCAAAATATAATCAGTGAGTAATTACAGGCATTATCGAGTGATTTGTCAAAAATGTCTACAAGCCAAGAGAGAATGATCGTTTCTGTCTAAAATTAAGGGGATTGGACAATAAAAGCTCTCCATATTTACTAGTAAATTCCATTTCAGAAGTGTCTGGGACTCCGTCTTTACTTTGTGTAAGCATTGCTCCATGTTTTAGTGAACTTTTGAAGAGTGTACCTTTTATTTCATTAAAAAAATCTCTCTGAGCTTCTTCAGAAAGACATAGTCCTGTTTGGTGAAGACGCTGACAAAATGCAGTCTTCTGTTAGAACTGAGTAATAATGCCAGGATGTTTGGAATGTGTTTCTCCTCATCCAAATGTAAATTGTTACTCCAAGACTGGTCTGCGTCAACACTTGAACTAAGGATAGGAAGTGAAGTAGTCGAACGCGTCGACAACTTCACTTATCTTGGAAGTCTGATCAGCCCTAATGGGCTGGTGTCTGACGAAATCTCAGCACGGATTCAAAAAGCTCGTTTGGCTTTTGCCAACTTACGTCACCTATGGTGAAGACGAGATATCCGTCCATCAATTAAGGGACGGGTATACTGCGCAGCAGTTCGCTCTGTCCTACTTTACGGCTGTGAAACATGGCCATTAAGAGTAGAAAATACTCGTAGGCTACTAGTATTTAACCACAGATGCCTTATAAATATTGCTCGCATCTGCTGGGATCACCGGGTAAATAATAGTGAGGTTAGACACAGGATACTACGAAATTATTTCAAATCAGTTGATCAAGTTGTAAATCTTCATCAACTGAGATGGTTGGGCCACGTGTTACGTATGCCTGAACACCGATTACCACGGCGCGCAATGCTGACTAGTGTAGGGGATGGTTGGAAGAGAGTTAGGGGTGGCCAAACCAAAACGTGGCATCAATGCTTGAAGTCACTAACTTCTAGTCTGAGCCATGTTGGCAGATGCAGACCACCTGGTTTGGGTCCGCGCGACTATCGTAACCAATGGTTGGAGACTCTGTGTGACATGTCTCAGAATCGGTCACAATGACACAGGTGTATACACTCTGTCTTCCTTTAAGCTATGATATTAAAATTGCTTCATATCTGTCTTTCTTCCTGTACTATATCCTTATATACAATCTCTATTTTATATATCACCACCACTAAATTAATTACTTCTATGAACCCGTGTTTATCTTGTTGTGCTAACGAGGTATGGCAGTTTGGACCGATGCATATATGTGCCTGGTCCTACGTTGTAGCTGACTGACTGACTATTTGTCCATTTGGTGATTGAATATTGGGACAATTCCTAGTTCGAACACCAAGCTATTACTCCTATCGGGTTGACTTCATTGGTTCGTGTGAAATACATTATTCCATGAACATTATTGTATTACTCTTGGTTTTAAATTCCTTGACGATAGTTAGATCAACAAAGTCCGGATCTTTATAAAGTGCAAAGTAAATTTGAGCAATTCTGCTTTTGGAACAGATATCAGATCTAGCGGAGAAATAACTTCTACTACTTTCATGAAACATTTATTGTTGATGATTATGAAAATAACTTGTGTTATTAGAATAAAAGATATAATGGTTATTTATGAAGTTCATTTTACCAATAAACCTAGATTCGGGGTTGGTTGTTAATTCTCTAAATTAATCTTAAATAGTTTGAAGTGTTTTACGATGCAGGCTGAAATCCGAATTTCGTTAGACTTGTATGTTTCCTGATAATAGATTTTTAGGAAATGAAGATAACCGTTTAGACAAGAATATAAAATAAGGGACAACAAGAAGAAACAAGCTGATGATTCAGTGGACGCAAAGGTCCAGTTGGATTTAATAATTAAAGTAATCAGAAATCAAATTTGTATAATTTAGTAATCGAAAATGGGAGTGGGAAGCGTAGGATTTCTTTTTGGATAATATTGTCCTTTCTGCTGAAAAATAATGTCCCTAGTTTTAGCTTTTTTTCGAATGTTTAGAATTATTTACTGAA